CCATTCTTAAGTTCAGAGTAGAGCAACTGCTTTGGGAGACGGTGGTCAGGCATCTGGACAACATGGCCGGCCCAGCGGAGTTGATGGCAGAGGACCATCACTTCAATGCTGGTGGTCTTTGCTTCTTCCAGCACGCTGACGTTTGTCCGCTTGTCTTCCCAAGAGATTTGCAGGGTTTTCCGAAGGCAGCGCTGATGGAATCGTTCCAGGAGTTGCATGTGATGTCTGTAGACCACGTTTCGCAGGCATGGAGTAGGGTTGGGAGGACAATAGTTTTGTAGACAAGCACCTACGGATGTCCCGGTCCTCAAACACTCTCTGCTTCATTCGGGAAAATGCTGCACTCGCAGAGCTCAGGCGGTGTTGTATTTCGGTGTCGATGTTGACTTTGGTGGAGAAGTGGCTGCCAAGGTAGCGGAAATGGTCAACATTTTCTAATTTTACACCATGAAGCTGTATTTCTGGCATTGGGGAGGGGATGGCTGGTGACTGCTGGAACAGTACTTTGGTTTTCTCGATGTTCAGTGACAGGCCAAGCTTCGTGTATGCTTCTGCGAAGGTGTTTAGAGTGGCTTGTAGATCTTATCATCTTATCTTATCATTACTCTTATCATCCCTCAATATTATTAGTGCTAATTTCACCAGCATCTGGCATGCCAAAGATTGTCCAAACCTGCCTTAAGTTCTCACGTGTCCTCAGATCTGTGATCACGCATGCAATGGCAAATTTGGAATTTCACAATGGTTGGAGAAAGTAGCATTTTTATTTATATAACTCCATCTATGTACATTTTAATATGATAAGAGGCACTTGTCAGGCTCACAAGGGTCAAAAACATACAAGGGAAGCAGCAAAGGCATGAGATTAAGGCCCCTCTAGATAGCGGTAAGGACAACACTGTAAGACTATCAGGTGCTGGATTCTGTAGGTCTTCACAGCTGTGTGACTGCTGCACAGTTTCACTGAATTGAAGTGGGCAAATGTTAAGTATTGCCATCTGCTGGGGAGAAACCAAAATGAGCCAATTCTGTTTGTTCACATTGGTACACAGAGTTTTTATACAAAAAATAAGTATGTAAAGAGAGAGGTATATGGAGCAGCTAGATGCTGGTGACAGGACAGGTGAACTGCCTCTCATGACATACCAATTCCTTTCATGCCAGTTCCATTTCTGGTGAGAAATGTTGTGTATGTTTTTGAAGCACAAGCTGGGACAAAGGATTTTGATCTTTGTATCACTGTGAAAGATGCTTCTATTATTTTACCATTCAATACTCAAGGCAAAGAAGAGCACTAGAGTATCGCTCCACTCTTGTGCTTCAAGACATTCTCACTTCAGTGGGGATTTAGTGAGGAATTTTAGAACAAATCTGCATCACATTTGCTAGCAACACTACAACTAAAGGTGCAAGGCAAAGTTGGCAGCATATATGCCCATAGACATTGCTGGACCGTACCTCCCATCTCATGTCAACAATGGCTAGAACTGATGGGATTTGCAGTCCAACAATGTCTGGAGGGCTTGGAGATGTGCACCCTTGATCTAAATAAACAAACAAAAAAGCATGTTACACTCTCCACTGACAAAGATAAAAGATGGGCAGAAAAGATAGTCCAAAGCTACAGTTGCATCTTTTCCGCCCTCCAAGCTATCACTCATTTCATTTCTTTTTTTCAGAATGAAGGTATGGATTAACATTTGCTAATTTGCCAGATGGAGCCCCTAGTGGTGCAGCAGATAAAACCATTAAGTTGCTAAACTTGCTGACCAAAACATTGGTGGTTCGAATCTGGGGAGCAGAGTGAGCTCCTGCTGTTAGGCACAGCTTCTGCCAACCTAGCAGTTCAAAAACATGTAAATGTGATCAATAGGTACTGCTTTTGCAGGAAGGTAATGATGCCCCATGGAGTCATGACAGTCACATGACCTTGGAGGCATCTACGGACAACGCTGGCTCTTCAGCTTAGAAATGGAGATGAACACCATCCCCTAAAGTTGGGCATGACTAGACTTAATGTCAGGGGAAACCTTTACCTAATTTTCCAGATATGGGACTATATTCCTATCGCCCCTCTTAAGGAAGTAGTACCCTTGGAGGACACCAGAAGCAGAGGAGGCCAGTTTAAAAACTTACACTTAGGGCTCTTTTACACTGCACACCACAGAATAACAGCATTTTGATTCCTAATCAATGACCATATGCTAGATTTGGCAAATCAAATCCTGTGATGTGTAGTTTGGTGATGCAGTAGAACACTGGCTGAAAATTCTCTATATCTCCCCTAAAATGCAATTTCTCAGATTCCATAGGGTTCTTCCATAGCAATTACGCTGGAATCATAGTGCTATCAGGAACCACCAGTGGCACAGTGGGTTAATCCCTTCTTCCAGCAGGACTGAAGACTGACAGGTTTGAATTCGAGGAGAGTGCGGGTGAGCTCCCTCTATCAGCTCCAGCTTCCCATGCAGGGACATGAGAGAAACCTCCCACAAGAATGGTAAAGCATCAGAACATCTAGGCATCCCCTGGGCAATGTCCTTGCAGACAGCCAATTCTCTCACACCAGAAGCGACTTGCAGTTTCTGAAGTCGCTCCTGGCACAGAAAAAAAAATAGTGCTATCATTCTGTAGTGTGAAAGGGCCCTTAATAACAGTGCTAGGGAAAATTTCCACAGCTGCCATTTTGTATTTGTGCATTTGGCAAAGCTGGAATCTGAGACGGCAGCAAAGTACAAGATGATAATTTCTCACTGTAACTCTGACAACAATCAGGCCCAAGGGAATTGCAGAATCATAACTGGCGAGTTAGGACTGCATTATTTATCAACACTTGGAAAAAAATAGCTTGCTATCATCTGCTCACCAAATTTGCTCTTTTATACATGCTTTAGTAGGCCAGATGAAGTCATTTCATTGTTGTTTAGTTGAAATTACAGTTGGTTCTCTTTGCCTTGGAGAGAGAGAGAAAAGGACTTCTATGCCTTAATAAAGAAGAACCACTACAAAGAAGTGGTGTTCAATATGCATTGGTCAATTGTGCTCCCATCTTCACTGCAATGTGCATCTGGGCAATGCCAACTGATTCTCAGTCTGGGCACAACACAAATTGTCTGTTAGCCCTCAAACTGACACTGAATGCTAGCAGTCAATTACATTAATAATGACTTTGTGTCGCTGGTAGTTGCTTTGGATCTCCATCTAGAACAGTGGTTCTCTGCCTGTGGGTCCCCAAGTATTTTGGCCCACAACTACCAGAAATCCCAGCAAGTTTACCAGCTGTTAAGGTTTCTGGGACTTGAAGACCAAAACATCTGGGGACTCACAGGTTGAGAACCACTGATTTAGGATGAAGCGTACATCAAAAGAGCACAGGCAACTCTCAATTTTTATTTTACTGTGATACCTTAATATAGGACAGTTGGTTGTTGGCTCACGTACAGACATTATATAGGTATGGAGAGTGCTTGTTCGTCACACAGTTGAGCTTAACAACAGTATGAGGGCAGTTCCAGACAGCACTTTATCCATGGGCTTTAGGTAAAGGTAAAGGTTTTTCCCTGACATTAAATCCAGTTGTGTCCAACACTGGGGTGTGGTGCTCATCTCCATTTCTAAGTCGAAGAGCCAGCGTTGTCCATAGACACCTCCTAGGTCATCTGGCAAGCATGACTGCATGGCACGCCGTTACCTTCCTGCCGAAGCAATACCTATTGATCTATTCACATTTGCATGTTTTCGAACTGCTAGGTTGGCAGAAGCTGGGGCTGACAGTGGAAGCTCACGCTACTCCCCGGATTCGAACCTGCGATCTTTCGGTCAACAAGCTCAGCAGCTCAGTGCTTTAACCCACTGCGCGACCAGGGGCTTTAGTGAGGGGCAAAAATTCCCAGGACTTCAGGAGAGGTCCACATACACACCTGTTGGTCCTGGGATTTTTTGCCTTGGTTGTCCAGACGTCATGCTTTGTTCTGAGTTTTAGAAGCTCCCAAGATGGCTGCCTGAGATAGGACTTCCACTGGAAACCAGCAGTTTTTTAAAAAAAACATTGCGGGATGCAGATATGCAGACATTTGGATATACATCGAACTGCAAAAGCTCCTTTTATTTGTCCTAGCCAGAAAAACTGTTCCCTCCAGATGTTTCATGAAGTATCTCCCACAATTAATAAGCCTCATGGGACAGAACCACTACTGCCCAAGTCAGCAGTACACAAACAGGAACACACATTTTTTAAGCCAGGAACAGAACTTTGTCATTATTCTCATTTTTACAGGCTGCCTGGTCATCTGTCCAGACAGATTTGGTTGTGTACCTGTGGCATCAAACAACCCGGAGTTGTTCCTAGGTTACACATGGCTTTTCCTATTAGTTACCTGCATGAACTTGGCTCTCAGTATTTACATTCCTCTCCAGGACATCCATGTCCCAACAGCCAGTAGTAATTTTTTGCCATAAACTGTACACATGTTATCAGCATACATCCAATGAGGAACCAACATGTATAACCTGGCAACATCATCCTGTTGTTCCCTGGCACAAGTACACCATGAGACCTGTCTGCACAGATGGCCACACAACAAGGTCTGAGTAATTATAGTAATGATGACATTCTGTTCCTGGTTTGAAAGTGTCTGTTCCTGTTTCATTGTATACTAATTACTGTGAAAGTACTTGTTGCATCCCAGGAACTTCATTTTTCTGCCACAAACTTCATTAAATAGGGGAAGGATGAAGTTCCTCTTCCCAGGACAAAGCTTTTGCCTTCTACTCCTCCTTCTTTTTAGGAACTGACCAATCAGGAAGAAGCGGCAAAAATCCAGGAACAAACAAAGATAAAACAATCCCATAACTAGGTTCTTGTGGGTTTTTTCGGGCTATAGAGCCATGTTCTAGAGGCATTTCTCCTGACGTTTCGCCTGCATCCCATAACTGATTGCATGGACACATAGACATATGAATATCTGGATATTCCGCTAAAAACCGGGATATCCCCGCAACTGGAAATCTTGCGTTTTTTGTCTTTTGGTGCGATTGCTCCTGGGTTTACTGAGAACGGCATCTGGCCACCCTCCTCATTGCTGAGGGAGCTCCTGGGATAAAGGTACTGTCTAGACGGGTGCACAGAATACAGATTTTTAGCATGGAAAAGTTTCCTGTTTGGACTGCAACACTCACAGTCTTCCTGCTGAAGGATTCTGGCAAGTAACTTTCTTGAGCTCTGCCCACTGACTAACACTAGTACTATGCTTCACAACCTCTCTCCCCTTGAAAGAAAACAGCACTGGAGTGGAAGTTTAAGCCACAGTGGCATGGAGGGAGAACTAACTAGGGCTAGGATCAAAATGGAGGCATCAGGCCTGGAATTTACTGGGTTTGGTAGAAAAGACGAAGGCATTGTGGAGAGCGAGGGGTGATAAGGTTGTGCAATGCGGTGCAAGGAAGGGAACACTCTGGATCCAGGGAAGAGTATGCTGGGAGTAACCTGGAAAAAGAAAGAAGAAATTGAGTTATATGAGAGAAAGTCTTCCAGGCTGTTCTACAGAAATGCATGTTCTCACTATATAGTGTAGCTCCTTGAGTTTGGCCTATTTATTTATATTCCACCCTTCTCACCCCACAGGGGACTCAGGGAGGATTACAATGCACATATACATGGCAAACATTCAATGCCATTAGACATACAACATCTATAGACAGACAAAGAGGCAATTTAACATTCCAGCTTTCCGGCTTCATGAGGGTATGCTCGATTCCGGCCACAGGGGGAGCTGCCACTTCACCGTCCACTTGTGGCACCGAGTCCTTGATGGAGTACTTCCTCATTCTTACGCACACTGCTAGAAGGTTTTATGGTGTTGCAAATTAGTTAAATTAGCCTCCGGCATAAAGCAGTACCTAAATTTCCTACTTGACAGATGCAACTGTATTTCGGGCTACATAGGTCAAAAGCAAGCTAGACTATCAATGGCCGGGAGCTTACTTCAACCCAGGCTGGCTTTGAACTCATGATCTCTTAATCAGTAGTGATTTAATACAGTTGGCTACTAACTAGCTGTGCAACAGACCGGTCCTCTTTGTGCCCACTTGCTCTACTCTTTTGGAAGGTTTGCAGCCATTTCTTGGTTCTGCACTAGGTCTTTGGTGAAGGTTTTAAAAAACCTTCACTGAAATGCTCCTTAGTTTGAAATGCATTGTTTTCACCTCTATTGATTGTTAAAAATGTCTTTTTAGAGTTACAGTGAAAAGGTTACATTATAACTCTCTTGAAAATAAAATAAAGCCTCTTAAGGGTGGGTGTAAAATGTTACAACTGATCCCAGTAACTGACAGAAAATAATCCAGGACAACAAAAATGTTTTAAAAATCTGAATTATAGCAACACATACTGCAGAAACAACTTGAAGGCACACACAAAAACAACAAGCTGCGTGGTGGAGTCTCCTTTCTGGCGGTTTTTATGCTGAGGCTGGATAGCCATCTGTCAGGAGTGTTTTGATTGTATTTCTATGCATGGCAGGGGGTTGAGCTAAATGGCTCTTGTGGTTCCTTCCAAGTCTATAGTTCTGTAAATGTGTGGTGGCAGAAAGTGCAGTTTGTATTGAATCTCAGAAGAGGAAAATTAGCCCAAATTCCCCACCTCTGGCTTAAAAGAAATTAGGTAGCAGGATATGGGAAAGATACACACATACACACATGATGTTTGCATATTTTTGCACCCCAGACATGACTCACCATCTCAGGTGTCTTCTATCTCATCCTGGTGGATAAACCTAGTGAGGAGGCAGAAAAATACCACTTTTTATTGCAGGAGTTGCTTTTTCTGAAATGATGAGTTCTTTCCTTTTGCTGCTACACCTCAGGCTGGGACAGTCTGTTGCCCGGAGTGTCTGTCACATAACAGACAAAAGCAGGCCCAAAGCCCATCTTGTTCCAGAATGAAAGATTTAGCAGACACATGAGACGGGAAACTAATAATTCCCACTGTGAAGGTCTGTCTTGTCCTACGGGCAGCCTTAGATTGACAAATGCTGCGTCAAAACATCATAAGAATAGCAAACTGATTTTCTCGTCTCATGTTTACCCAGAGCCTGGGAAAGTTAACTTCTAGAGTACAGCTCCTGTTATTCCCCAGTTTGCATGACTGCTGCCCATGCTTCCCGGAGGATTTGGGGAAAAGGAGTATTTAAAAAGTCAGTCTGTAAACTAAAATATAACTTTTCCACATCCTGGGGAAATATGAGACAAGAAAACTGATCAATTGCTCAGACTTGAACTTAGCAATCTCCTTGTAACTGCATCCCTATCACAGACCTTTCCTGGGGGATCTTCCACACTTGTTAATTGTAGCACTATAATTCCACTTTTACCGCTGTCGCTGCATCCTATGGAATCTTGGGATCTGTAGTTGGAAGGGAGGCACCCAGACTCTCTGGTTGAGAAGTATTCTTCCCTAGATTACAAATCCCCACATTCCATAAATTGTTGCAAACGCAGTTAAAGTGGAACACTAGTGGGATAACTAGGTGATGTGCTTTTCCCCCTCATGCATGGAGATATTTATTTTTCTGTCTAAGGTGTTTTTAGCCATCCTGTTATGCAAGGAAACCTTGTACTGACATATTAGTATAGCGATCTGAGCTTATTAAATGGAGAAATCAAAATTAAAAACCTAACTGTGACCAAGACCACTTCCTGGTGGGAATGGTCACATGGCCTGCTGGCCCTGGTCAACTCCAGTCAACCGGTTCAGGCCATTCCTATCACCTCTGCCAATACCAATGCAAAGTCATCATTAGGATGCCCACAAGCAAAGATCTGAAACTCATTTGGATCTTTGGTCACATTACAAGGTAAAATACCATTCTTTTTGAAAAAATTTAAAGCAGTGGTTCCCAACTCACCAGCCGTGAGACCTAAAATAAAGTCTGGAGCAGTGGTGCATGCCACCATTGGAGGAGAGTGAGAGAGAAAAGAGGGAAAGAAGAAAGGAAGTCTGCACCATTCCCCTTGCCCTCTCGCGAGGGAGAGAAGGAAGGCCCTTGCACCCGCCAGTGCTTTCTCGGCCTTGGGAGGTTTCCCAGGCCAGGGCAGAGAAGACTTACCCATGGCATGCACAAGGCAGCAAGAGAGAGAAGGAGAGTCCCCCAATGTTATTGTTGTTGTTGTTGTTGTTATCTCCCATTGCCACACATCAGTTGTATGGCAATGGGAGATAATAACAACAACAACAACAACAACAACAATAACTGATGTGTAGCAATGGGAGCTATTATTATTATTATTAATAATAATAACAAATAATAATAATAATAATAATAATAGCTCCCATTGCCACAAGTCAGTTGTAATGGGAAAGTAGCCTGTTTAGTCCCCCAAAGTTGTTGTTGTTGTTGTTGTTGTTGTTGTTGTTGTTGTTGTTATTAACAGCTCCTGTCGCCACACATCAGTTGATATGGGAAAGCAGACCTTTGTAAGACACTTTTTAGTCCCCAGTTGTTGTTGTTGTTGTTGCTGTTGCTGTTACTATTATTAGCTCCCATTGCCAAATGCAAGACTTGTAATGGGAAAGTAGCCCTTTGTAAGACCCTGTTCAGTCCCCCAAAGTAAGCATAAATACTATTATTAAATATGTTAGGGACAGTTTATTGGGTCTCATGCTCCGCTTTTTGTATTTTTTTTTCAACCTCAGCACCTTCCCCTTCTTTTTTTTTCACAAGTGCTAACAAAAAACACAAATAATAATAATTTTTTTCTTGGTGTCTTTGTTCCTGGGGTTATTTGGGGTGCGGATTCAGAAAATTGCATTGGATAGACTACATCAGCTCTAGAGTATTAAATATGGTTTTCAGTTTTTTTTCAGGGCAACTACTGGATGGCATATGTTCTGTATCAGAAACCAGAGCTGATGTGGTCTATCCAATGCAGTTTTCTGAATCATCACCCCAAATAACCAAACCGAATCTAAAGTTGACCAAAAATGGACTCGCAATCCTTTTGGTACTAATGTTGGAGAGTGGTCCCTGGTCAAAGTGGTCCCTGGTCAAAAAAAGGTTGGGAACCACTGCTTTAAGGCCTAAGAACTGATGCAAATCACCATGAATGTTATGTGTCAGGATAGTAGCCAATATGAGGTGAGTACAGTTGTTTGTGTCCATGTAGAAAGGCCCTCATTATTTTAAAGGCTATCTAAATAACACCAAACATAATGATGGTTTTGGAATCTAGCAATAGGCTCAAGTGTATAGTTTGAGGTAGGAAAACAAAAGGATGATTGAAAGAGACTAGATCTTACGGCGGATTGAACTGCGTAGGGTCCCCTCTTCTTCATCAGGTTCACCCGTCCTAAGAACAGAAATTGGTTGGTCATACTGAGCTTTCCAAGCACCCAATATTATTCACATTTTACATCACAGTCATACTAATTTTGCTGACAGGACCAGATCAAGTGAGGAACAAAAACCAGATAACTACAGCATATATGCCCCCTCCAAATGGCATATATGCCTTCACGACACCTGTTGACTTGTGACAACTCCATTAATTTCACGGAGCTTTCTCAGGCAAGAAATACTCAGAGGTGGTTTTATCATTTCTTTCCTCTGAAATACAGCCTACAGCACCTGGTATTCATTGTAGTCTGTCATACAAGTACTAACTACAGCTGACTTTGCTTAACTTCCAAAATCAGATAGTATCTGGGACCCTTAGGATATTTACTTAGTAGGCCTGGGCGGTTTCGTTCGTTAATTTTGTAATTCGTTATTAATTCGTTATTTTTAGCATTTACGAAACGATAACAAAACACATTTTCAAACCCGGAAGGGTTTAAAAATAACGAAGCGGCAACCCCCATAGTTTTAACGAGCTTCCGCCCGTTTCGTAAATGGGATGGAGGCTGCTGGTGCCCTGGGAGCCAATCCGGCGCTCCCAAGCACCCAAGCAGTGCACCGTGGCTGTTTCTGATTGGCCGGCGAGCCCTTTAAAAGCGGCTCCGCGCGGCCGTACAGCTCATTGCTGCAGAGGGCGAGGGAGAAGAGAAGAGGTCCGGGAGGGTTTGCATTGGGTTGGCTTGCAACTGCTTGGATTGGATTCATTCCTTGCTCATTCCTTGCTTGGATTCATTCCTTGCTTGCTTAATTCCTTGCTTGGATTCATTCCTTCATTCCTTCCTTCGGTTTTTGTCAATTTGTTTGTTAATTTTCCATTTTTAAATATTTTTTAATATTTTCTAAAAATATTTTAATATTTTAATATTTTATTTTAATATTTTCTCTTCTGTTGCTGTGTGCTCTCATTTGCCCTGTCTCATGGCTGTGTTTGGTCCACATCAGGGCCAGTTTTGGGTTAATTTTCCATTTTTGAATATTTTCTAAAAATATTTATTTATTTATAATATTTTAATATTTTATTTTAATATTTTCTCTTCTGTTGGTGTGTGCTCTCATTTGCCCTGTCTCGTGGCTGTGTTTGGTCCACATCAGGGCCAGTTTTGGGTTAATTTTCCATTTCTGAATATTTTCTAATATTTTCTAAAAATATTTTAATATTTTAATATTTTAATATTTTATTTTTTTCTCTTCTGTTGGTGTGTGCTCTCACTTGCCCTGTCTCGTGGCTGTGTTTGGTCCACATCAGGGCCAGTTTTTGTTTAATTTTCCATTTCTGAATATTTTCTAAAAATACCTTTCTTTTATTCTTTAAAAAAAAACCAAAAATATTACAAAAAAGAAAAGACTCTTCTGTTGGTGTGTGCTCTCATTTGCCCTGTCTCGTGGCTGTGTTTGGTCCACATCAGGGCCAGTTTTGGGTTAAGTTTCCATTTTTGAATATTTTCTAAAAATACCTGTCTTTTATTCTTAAAAAAATACAAAAAATAAAATATTCTAAAAAAATAAAAGAGTCTTCGGTGGCTGTGTGTGCGTTTGTCATTTGTGTAGTTCCAACCAGTGCGCTCCTTTTGCCAACAGAAAGTGCTATAATACAGTGCTTGCTCGCTCATTTGTGTAGTTCCAACCAGTGCGCTCCTTTTGCCAACACAAAGTGCTACATACACTGCTCGCTCATTTGTGTAGTTCCAACCAGTGCGCTCCTTTTGCTCATTATTTGTGTAGTTCCAACCAGTGCGCTCCTTTTGCCAACAGAAAGTGCTATAATACAGTGTTCGCTCATTTGTGTAGTTCCAACCAGTGCGCTCCTTTTGCCAACACAAAGTGCTATAATACAGTGCTTGCTCGCTCATTTGTGTAGTTCCAACCAGTGCGCTCCTTTTGCCAACACAAAGTGCTATAATACAGTGCTTGCTCGCTCATTTGTGTAGTTCCAACCAGTGCGCTCCTTTTGCCAACACAAAGTGCTATAATACAGTGCTTGCTCGCTAATTTGTGTAGTTCCAACCAGTGCGCTCCTTTTGCCAACACAAAGTGCTATAATACAGTGCTTGCTCGCTAATTTGTGTAGTTCCAACCAGTGTGCTCCTTTTGCCAACACAAAGTGCTATAATACAGTGCTTGCTCGCTCATTTGTGTAGTTCCAACCAGTGCGCTCCTTTTGCCAACACAAAGTGCTATAATACAGTGCTTGCTCGCTAATTTGTGTAGTTCCAACCAGTGCGCTCCTTTTGCCAACACAAAGTGCTATAATACAGTGCTTGCTCGCTAATTTGTGTAGTTCCAACCAGTGCGCTCCTTTTGCCAACCCAAAATATTTAATAACGAAGTTATTAATAACGAAGTATTTAATAACGAAGTTTCGGAAGTCTCATTGCGCATGCGCAAAAGCGTCCGTCGTTTTAATGCATTGATTCGTTATAACTTAACGAATCGACCCCGCGCCAATAACGAAGCTTCGGAAGTGTTTTTGCGCATGCGCGGGGGTCCGCCATCTTAACGAATCAATTCGTTAATATTTACGAAATTTTCGTAAATATTAACGGATTGTAGGGGGAAATTTTGTAATTATTTTAAATATCGAAACAAAAAAACACCCCAATTACAAATCGATTTTAGAACCAAATTTTTTCTTGATCAACCAGGCCTATTACTTAGATCTTCACCAAGCCTAACTGCGCCTGCAATCTGGGACATTTTGCACACGTAAAGCAATTGCTCCCCCTACTGACAGACAGAGGAGGTTAACTGCTGAACACAATGATCATCACTCATGATTTCTTCACCATGGTAGGGTCAGAGCTCAGAAAAGTTACTTTTTGAGACCATAATGCCCAGAATCGTGCAGACACTATTCTGAACGCTGGGTAAAATATATGTATGTGTTGGGGAGGGGAGGTGCGTCAGTAAAGATGTTACAACAAAGAACAGGGATTGCTACTCCTTTCTATTGAACCCCAAAACATGTTCCCAATCTGTATAACTGGGGGTCACAACCAGACAAAGTGCATGATAAATAAATAAACAACTGACTGATGAAGGGGACTGAAAGTTGTGATAGGATAGAGACGTTGCCATTTAACAAGGGTTGCATTTAGCTTCTGATAAGTTTGCAGGAGCTATATTTCAGTGCTGGGGACAGTGTGACCCTGAAGGCCAAGGTATTCTAGTTTTAATTTATCCAAATGAGTAAATAAGCCTAAACTACAATACCTCATCCTATAGGGTCACACTGTGCCCAGCACTTAAATGTCGCTCCTGTAAACTTATCAGAAGCCAAATGAGCTTTTCAACTTTTTAGAATGGAGAAAAATCCAGACAAGGTAATCGTGGTAAAGTTGGAAAGGAGGGGGGGCATGGGGCCATGCCTTTTGCTAGGCATAGACAACTTCAATAGCACCTCCAAGTCATGTAGCAAACATTTTATTTTTCAAAATTAGAATTGGACAGAAACTCCAGTTTTCAATAGTCCTCACTCGAAGCAAAAAAAGGCCCTTCTCCAGTAATGACCTCTTCTCCATCATGTTCCAGAGGAGGGTCTCCTCTTGTAAGGTTTCCTGGGACAACTTTTTTGTTGGGTTGTTGTATGTTTTTCGGGCTGTATGGCCATGTTCCAACCTCTGAGGATGCCTGCAATAGATGCAGGTGAAACATCAGGAGAGAATGCTTCTGGAACATGGCCAGACTGCCTGAAAAACATACAACAACCCAGTGATTCCAGCCATGAAGGCCTTCAACAACTTTTTTGTTCTTATATTTTCGACATAGGGTGGGCTATATTTGTGATTTAAATGGTGGCTACCCCTGGTTTACACAGTCTGGCAACCTGTTAGTGGCATAAGCATGCACAGGTCACCTTATTCTGCTTATGTCCTTTTATAAAAACTATAGAGGTTGGTATTTCCTATCTCCCTCCTCAAAATCCAAAGTTCTTGGTTGCATGTGCACACACAATACTGAAATACCTTTAAAGAAGTAGTGTCCAACCTGTGGCCCTCCCGGTGTTTGGGACCTCAACCCCCAGCTTGTGCAATGGCCAGGAATTCTGACGTCCAAAATAATTGGAGAACTTAAAGGTGGACACCACTTCTTTAAAACCTCCCTCCCAAGCATGTCCATTCCAGGCCTTGTGGAGAGTGGTCAAGGTCAGAGAAATGTCTTGCTACATCCTTGTACAAGATGTGCAAAGCTTGCCTCGGCTGCTAAAACCTCTGGAGGACTCTATAGATAATACAATTGCTTCACGTCTGGCTATGGGGACTACTGTGTTCTGCCCCACAGTGGGGGGGGGGGGATTCAGATGATTGGGAGGTGGTTGTACTAAATGGCTGAGTCTAATGTACATCAGCATGTAGAACAACTAATCTATGCTGAGACATATAGGACATGTTAACCATGGGTTTGTGTCCCATTCTTCTTATCAGATCAGGCTGTAAGCAAGAGATCACAGGATTATTAGAGAAGGCCTTCATGGCTGGAATCACTGGGTTGTTGTAGGTTTTTCTGGGCTATATGGCCATGTTCTAGAAGCATTCTCTCCTGACGTTTTGCCTGCATCTATGGCAGGCATTCTCAGAGGTTGTGAGGTCACAAACTCTGAGGATGCCTGCTATAGATGCAGGCAAAACATCAGGAGAGAATGCTTCTAGAACATGGCCATATAGCCTGAAAAACCTGCTCAGTGCATTTCGATGTGCTAAATATTTGTTTATTTATTCTTAATTGAAAGTATTTCTAGATTGCCTTCCAGCTCACCCTGATCCCTGTGGGGATACACAACAAAATAAACAAAGGCACATATTTAAACCTGCAATACCAGATACTATAACCAGGACTGCCAGAAAGAAAATTGGAGAGGCATCCTGTGCCATTATGGTTACATAAAAGCGGAAATTTCAACAGGTGTTTTTTGTGACCAAGCTATATGGCACGAAACGCCGACTGAATTCCCCAGAAGCCCTCTCCATTTTTCATCCTGGCAACCCTAAGAGTAGCAAATGCCTCCATAGCTGAAAGAAAAAAGCTATGTATTGCTATGTGTCTGGTGTCAGTTTGGTGCTTTTTTGAAAACATTCTGGCAACCCTAACAGTAGCAGATGCCTTCATAGCTGAAAGGAATAGCTATGTATTGCTTGTGTGTCTCGTTTCAGTATGGCGCTCTTTTGAAAACATATCTGTGTACAGCTGGGATGTGAAAGTTAATGAAGGAAGTAAAGGGCCTGTTATAATTCATCTTCATATTCTTGAAGTGGAACAACTATCCTGACTACACACCCATTTAAGTGTTTGAAAGGAAAGGGCTTACCTTTGTTGCTGGTTGAACTTGCAACGGCAACGCCGACCTAAGATAGAAAAAGAAAAACTAATTCTAAGCAAAGCTGAGAGCTTTTCAAGTAGAGGGCGATAGGAATTATAATTTTCCAAACATCTGGGAGCGGAGTGCAGACAAATAGTTGGAACAGAAAAGAGCTTACATTAGAGAGGGCCTATACCTCAGTGACAGAACACATGGAGATATTCTCCAGACCCAGGTCCTAGCGCCTAATGGCTTAATTACTAATAATATTACAATATAATGGTATAGTACACTATAGTAATATATAATACTGATACTGCACTATGTTAATATAATATATTGTATGTGTATATATATCTTGTAAGCCGCTCTGAGTCCCCTTCGGGGTGAGAAGGGCGGCATATAAATAAATCTATATAAATAAAAATGTAATGTTCGTTTGTGGGATTAACAGAACTCAAAAACCACTGGACGAATTGACACCAAATTTGGACACAAGACACCTAACAACCCAATGTATGTCCTTCACTAAAAAAAATGATTTTGTTAGTTGGGAGTTGTAGTTATTGGGATTTATAGTTGACCTACAATCAAAGAGCAACCCCACCAACATAGGAATTGAACCAAACTTGGCACACAGTTCTCCCATGACCAACAGAAAAAACTGGAAGGGTTTGGTGGGCAGTGTTTTTTGGTTTTGGAGTTGTAGTTCACCTACATCCAGAGATCATTGTGGACTCAAACAGTGATGGATCTGGACCAAACTTGGCATGAATACTCAATATGCCCAAATGTGAATACTGGTGGAGTTTGGGGAAAATAGAATCTTGACATTTAGGAGTTGTAGTTGCTGGGATTTATAGTTCACCTACAATCACAGAGCATTCTGAACCCCACCAACGATAGAATTGGGCCAAACCTCCCAAACAGAACCCCCATGTGGGCCACAGCAACGCGTGGTAGGGGGTGGCTGGTGTCATAAATAAACAACACTTTATGCTCAGGCTGAGTTGCAAATCTGCAAATTTGAACTCTGGTTAGTCTACTAGTTTAACAAGTAGACCTGTCTTCCAATTTCAGGTATGGATGCCAGCTTACTTGGCACTGAATCTAAGAGCAGCCATCTAGTTTAGGGAATTCAAGACCGTATGCCCAGCACGTACTGCTCTCTCTCACCACTCCCAATTTCCACTCCTTCTCATCTGCTGCCAGAGACAACTTTTCACTCTGTCTATTGGCAGGAATGGTTACTGAGTGAAACAGGGTATTTGAAACCTTCACCACAGAAGAAAAAGCAGGTACTTCTACAACTACATTTCATTAGAGAACCACGTTAGGGACAAACAGATGTGCCATCAAGACAGTGGCCCTGATGTGGCATCAGTCAGTTTCACTAGTAAATGCTGATGGAGCTACTCACTGAGAATAATGAGAATGCCAAGCAGGAACAGCACAACTGCAAACACCAGGCCCCCAATTCTTAAAGATTCATAATCTGGGGAGAGAAAAAAAGCAAAGGGATGTCAGTGTTGGGAATGGGACAGGGGAAAGATGGGCTCAAGCCTCCTAAATCTAGGCTGGATGTGGGGAGGCTGAGCTGAACATTCTGGTGAAATTGAGCCATCAAGATGTCTATGGTTTGGGTCCTGCCTATCTTCATGACCGCATCCACCTCTATGAACCAGTGTGGGCTCTAAGATCTGCTGGGGAGGCCCTCCTCTCAGTCCCGCCACCATCACAAGCATAGTCGGTGTGGACAAGGAAGAGATTGTGGGTCCCCTAGCTTAGGAACGTCCTTCCCAGGGAGATCGAACAGGCTCCCACACTGTCCTCCTTCCACAGACCAGGCTATTCAAACAAGCTTTTCAGAATACCTAGTCCCTAGTTGTTCCACACAATAGTTACGTAGTCTTGCCCCATGCCCTCTTTCCATTGTTACAGCTCTACATTTATCCTTGACCTATTGTTTACAGCCTGGCCATGTTTACAGTAGCTTACCGCCATTGGTTGATGAACGCAGTTTTATTGAATCTTAGTTGTTGGTTTATATGCCTATGTGTAAACCGCCCCAATCCCTTCCGGGAGATGGTGGTGGGATACAAGAATAAAGTTGTTGTTGTTGTTATTTGAAACACAACAAGATGTGTCCACAGCAGACAAGATCACTCTGCTGGCTGTTGTATTGGATCACACGTCAGACACTTCCCAAGTGTCTAGGACTGTGTGATGTATCGGCGAATAATGTGTAGGGCGGCCTTCTGCAGCTGGTAGATGGTAATTTAGTCAGCGCCAATTGTGTTTAAGTGCAGGCCAAGGTCTTTAGGCACTGCACCCAGTGTGCCGATCACCTTTACTGGCTTGTGTCAGAGTCTTTGCAGTTCAATCTTTAAATCCTCATATCGTGTCAGTTTTTCCAGTTGTTTCTCTTCAATCCTGCTGTCGCCTGGGATTGCAACATCAATGATCTATGCTTGGATTTTTAACATGAATGTGAGGTAAGGAGTATTGCGCTCCAAAACTCTGTCAGTCTGAAATCAGAAGTCCCAGAGTAGCTTGATGTGTTCATTTTCTGTAACTTTTTCTGGCTTGTGATCCCACCAGTTCTTTCTCACAAGCAGATGGTATTAGTAACACAAGTTCCAATGAATAATCTGAGCAGCGGTGTTATGCCTCTGCTTGTAGTCTGTCTGTGCAATCTTCTTGCAGCAGCTGAGGATGTGATCTATTGTTTCATCTGCTTCCTTGCAGAATCTACACTTGGGATCTGTTATTGTGTTTTCTCAGCAGCATACTAATGAAGCATTAAGAAATATTCCTCCCAGGAATGCAAAAGGCTGCCTATAATCTATTTCAGTGGTTCCCAACCTTTTTTTGAGCGGGGTCCACTCTCCAACATTAGTACCAAAAGAGTTGCGAATCCATTTTTGGTCAACTTTAGATTCCGTTTGGGGTGCTAATTCAGAAAATTACATTGGATAGACCATATCAGTTCTGGTTACTGATACAGAACATAATCAGCAACAGGGATGGAGTGGCAGGTGGCACAAAAAGAGTGGAAATAAAATAAAATAAATAGGAAGGAGGCTCACAGACCAGATTTTTGTTCTCGTGGCCCACTGGTGGTCCACAGCCCACAGGTTAAGAACCACTGATCTATCTGATGCACAGTTGCTTTGGAGAAAACTGCATAGAGCACTTTAAGGTGTCAGGTGAAGTACAAGGTAGGGCTCTTGCTGACCTGACTTGTGTTATGGAGACTGGCTGGATGAAGCTGGAGCCTCAGCACCTCACTTTTGTCCCTCTGGTTTTCTGAGGAGTAGTACACAATTCCTGGAGGGTGGGGAAGTGGAGCTGCAGCCATGTAGATTAACTCAATATTATGGAGTTAATTGTACATTTCTGCTCTTAATGTTAACACTTTTTTAAAAAAAAACAACTCTGTTTTTAATGTTTTAAAGTTTTACAGTTTGACACTGGTCTGTGACTGTAAAAATAAAATTCATTCAGTTTTACACTGAGATGCTACTAGGTGTTTTGAGACACAGTCTGCTGTGCCTGGTGTGTTTACAGGTGGATGGCCAGGACAGAATAGGGCCTCACTGTACGATTTCAACATGGAAAAATAACTATTTTCTAGACTTAGAAGTAAATTGCTAGCCATTGTTGAATCACAATGCTAAAGCCAGATGCCATGGAAACAGAGTCCAGGGTTGAAAAACCTTGTCATAGAGACAGAGTCCAAAGAAGTCCAGTTGCTGGGTTGCAAAGAAGTCCAAGGGTAATAAATCCATGAAGCACACTTGCAAGAGATGTGCAGGAATCAAACTGGACAAAGTAACCTTTTGAAAACGACAGCCTGATCAGTCAACACCTTGATCCCAGGAAACATTTAGAGAGATTAATTCACAGCCCTGCTCTGCTTCCCAGCACCTTGATTGTAGCCCTTCTTTCCATTTGCAGGGAATAGTCTGAGCCAAATGCTGGAACTTCAGCCTTTCTCAGGGATACCTGAGAACTCCTCTTCCTAACCTGCTGAATCAAATAGGACTCAGCTGGCTAGCAGGCACCTCCTTTGACTTTAGCACAGCTGGTTAATCACCAGCAGCAATACATATTACCAATCGAAAGGTTGGCAGTTCAAAGCCTGGGTCAGGGTGAGCACCTGACCATCAGCCCAGCTTACTGTCCACCTAAGCAGTTCAAAAACATCTTTGAGATGTGAGTAGAGAAGTTAGGCACCGCTGAAGCAGGGAGGTATTTTACGGCACCGTAAAAGAAATACCAGATCAAAGAAATACCAGATCAAAGGAAGTCTGACATCAAGACTCTTCATCATAGAGGATGGAGCGACAGTACCCCCTTGTGGCCAGAATGGAGCACAACCTCCAGGATACAGAAGTTGCGGAAAATGCCGATATTATACCTCTATCTGTTGTCTGTCCTGTCTGTTTAATGGCATTGAATGTTTGCCGTGTATGTGTTCTGTGATCTACCCTGAGTCCCCTTTGAGGTGAGATGGGCAGAATATAAATTCTATAAATAAATAAATAAATAAATAAATAAATAAATAAATAAATAAATATTAATTCTGGCAACCACACCCGGCCAGCATAGCCATTCGTGATAAATTATAGGAGCTGAAGCCCAACAATATTTGGAGGATCACAGATTCCCTATTCTTGCCCCAAGTCACAGTTAGTCATTAAGAAAATTGGGTACAAAATTAGATTTGGTTGTGGATGTGAAATCAAGCCTAAATCTTTTATTAACTGCTGCTCACCAGCATTACCGCTGGGCTTACATTTGAAACAGACTGTCTGAGTTTTAAAATTTAGGAAAGAAAAGTGCAGGCTGTTCAGACATCTCCTCAAGTTCTGTTTAACAGGTTCTGTGCTTACATTCAATTCCTGAGGAAGGCTGTTGGTAATCTTTCACTCACCATAATGGAAGGGATCATGGGGCACATCTTTGGGTGGCGGAGGTTCTGAAAAAAAAGAGACAGACAGACAGAAAGAGAGAGAGTTATAGCAGGAGTCTTAACTGTTCTTGCAAATCAATTACTTATATATGATCCCCCAGTGGTGCAATGGGTTAAACCCTGGTAGGGCTGAAGATCGACAGGTCAGAGGTTCAAATCTGGGGAGAGTGCGGGTGAGCTCCCTCTGTCAGCTCCAGCTCCGTATGCAGGGACATGAGAGAAGCTCCCACAAGGATGAAAAAACATCAAAACATCCAGGCATCCCCTGGGCAACGTCCCTGAAGACGGCCAATTCTCTCACACCAGAAGTGACTTGCAGTTTCTCAAGTCACTCCTGACATAAAAAAATAATTACTTAAATGAACATCATTGTTTTGTTGATAAAAATAATTGGGATTTATAATTTGCTTTCGGAGAAAGAAAACACAGAACCTGTGAAAAATGTATCAGGAAACGCTTGTCTCCTGAGAGTGCAATTCTTTAACTATTGAAGGACCATTATCTCGAGACCACAATTTCTCCCACATGAACCCCACCTATCACTTAATTGCATTTTTCCTCAGAGCCCCCTTCCCTTGGTCTGTTAATCCCAGGCCACCATTAAGTATAGTTGTGTCCGACTCTGAGGAGTGGTGATCACATCCATTTCTAAGCCAAAGAGCCAGCATTGTCCATAGACACCTCCAAGCTCAAATGGCCAGCATGACTGCCTGGAGCACTGTTACTTTCCCACAGAAGCAGTACCTATTGATATACTCACATTTCCATGTTTTTGAACTGCTGGGTTGGCAGGAGCTGGGCTAACAGCAGGAGCTCACCTCTCTCCCTGGATCCAAACTGCCAGCCTTTTGGTCAGCAAGTTCAGCAACTCAGTGGATTAACCTACTGCACCACCAGGGGGCACTATAATAGCATAAGATAGTCTAAAATGTGCTTTTCCCCACACTTTCTAGTCTTACCTGCTACTGTTGAGCCTATCAAGATCCCATAGAGAGGAAGAAGGATCCACAGGTCCATTTCTGTCCTGAGAAAACAAGAAGACAGATCAGTCAGAGTTCTGGCTGGGGCAAAGAAGAGAGTGCTGGCACTTTAATTCAGGACTGGGGTGAACCTATGGCTTTGGAGCTCCATGTTCAACAACCTGAACCAATCTTAACTACTGTTGGTATGATGGATGTGGCAGTTCACCAACCCTTGGTGGGCCATTTCAAGCTATGGAAGAATGAAGCGCCTTTAAACATCTCACCCATGATTATTGAATCATAACATGGACTCTCCAGTCCAACTCCCTGGTGACACACTTTTTAGACACGCATCATTTTGCCACACAGTAATTCAGTTTTGCTAGCAAAGTAGAGGTTAAACTAACCCATCATAGTATATACAGCCACATTCTGATATATGAATTGCAATAATAAAATGTAGGAAGATACATATCTCATGAAAACCTTTCATTTAGATATTGTTCCAATATGTGGCTTATTGCTTATTTCACATAGACCAGTGGTTCTCAACCTACCTAATGCCGCGACCCCTTAATACAGTTCCTCATGTTGTGTTGACCCCAAACCATAACATTATTTTTGTTGCTACATCATAATTGTCATTTTGCTATTGTTATGAATCGAAATGTAAATATCTGATATGCAGGATAGATTTTAATTCATTCTAAATTTGGCACAAATACCCGATATGCCCAAATTTGAATACTGGTGGGGTTAGGGGAGATTGATGTTATCATTTGGGAGTTGTAGTTGCTGGGATTTATAGTTTGCCTACAATCAAAAAGCATTCTGAACTCCACCACCAATGGAATTGAACCTGACTTGGCCACACAAAACTCCCATGACCAACAGAAAATGCTAGAATGGTTTGGTGGGCATTGACCTTGAGTTTGGGAGTTGTAGTTCACCTACATCCAGAGTAAACTCAAACAATGATTGATCGGGACCAAGCTTGGCACGAACACTCAATATGTCCAAATATGAAGTCTGGTGGAGTTTGGGGAAAATAGACCTTGACATTTGGGAGTTGTCGTTGCTAGGATTTAGAGTTCACCTATAATCAAAGAGCATGCTGAACCCCACCAATGATAGAATTGGGCCAGACCTCCCACACAGAACCCCCATGACCAACAGAAAATATTGTATATTCTGACGGTCTTCGGCAAACCCTTCTGACACCCCCTTGCGACCCCAACCCCCAAGTTGAGAAACACTGACATAGATTCAGAGGTTTCCCATTACATCAGCGCAACACATTTACACTCTGAAGCGTCACATAGTTTAGAAAGCCCTGCCTTTGAACACAAACTTAGCCAGGTGGAAAAGGAAATGGATAGGAGACGAAACCGTTTCTGGGGCAGATGGTGCTGTAGCCGTGATGTCACATCCTGAAATGGCCGAGAAGCCCTGGGGACGGAGGGCAAAGCTCTGTTGCCATAGTGCAGAGACTCCTGGCAGAACGGAAAGTCCACTTTGCAATGTTTACACATGATAACCTGTCTGCAGGGCCACAGAAACATATACTCATAGAACTAGTAGAGACAACAAAGGTCATCCAGTTCAACCCCTTGCCATGCAAGAATGTACAAGCAAAGAACTCCCCACTGATAGTCATCCAGTCTAAAAATCCTCAAAGGAGGAGACTCCACCACACTCCAAGAGAGTCTGTTCTACTGTTCAACAGCTCTTACCAACAGAAAGTCCTTTGTCATGTTTAGATGGGATCTTTAATGTGATATCCTTTCAGATATTTATACCCAGCTGTCAGGCCTCTTTCAAACCTTCTCTTCACCAAGCTAAACATACCCAGCTCCAAAGGTCACTCCTCATAGAGCTTGGCTTCCAAACCTTTGATCATTTTGGCTGCCTTTTTCTGGACAAGTTCCAGTTTGTCAAATTTTTTAACATGTGTTTTTTCACATTCATGGGGCTCCTGTGCCCCTCACCGCAGTGAATGTGGAGAACTGACAGTACTAAAGAGGTTGAAGGCTTGGTATTATCTTATGCTCTCCATAGGACAAGGGAGTAGGGGGGTGAAGACGGCAAGGCCCTGGGAACAGCTGGCCCTCCCTCCTGCCTGAACAGAAGGAGCCCCTCAGGATGTTCTCATGGAGGGACTATGCTGAGGTCAAGAAGTCCACCAAGAAGACCCGTGGAAGGACCTCCTCAGGTGCCTCAAGCACCTCAGGTTGCTCATGGATGCTGTGGATGGAAATGAACTTAAAAAAACATTTTATTTTTTTTTAGATTAACTTTTTTGAGATTGAACTGGTGAACTGTGAGATGGAGACGAGAAGGACGGGATATAAATGCTTGAAATAAATTAGTCTGGTCCCCATAATGACCCAGGCATGGGGATTTATTGGGACATAGGGCCCATCTAAGCTGATGACATATGTCAGTGTATGGTTAGATCAGCCCCTAAGAGCAAGAGGGTTCCCTTACTCGTTTCTCAACCTGGGAGTTGGGACTTCTGGGGGGTCGAGGGGGTGTCAGAGGAGCATGCAAAGCGGCCCGCACCAGTGAGTCCCTTCAAGACATGGGGGTTCTGTGTGGGAAGTTTGGCCCAATTCTATCGTTGGTGGGGTTCAGAATGCTCTTTGATTGTAGGCAAACTATAAATCCCAGCAACTACAACTTCCAAATGTCAAAGTCAATTTCCCCCCAAAATCCACCAGTGTTCACATTTGGACATATTGAGAATTCATGCCAAGTTTGATCCAGACCTCAATTGTTTGAGTCCACAGTGCTCTCTAGATGTAGGTGATCTACAATTTCAAAACTCAAGGTCAACGCCCACTAAACCCTTCCAGTATTTTATGTTGATCATAGGACTTCTGTGTGCCAAGTTTGGTTCAATTCCATCATTGGTGGAGTTTGGAATGCTCTTTGATTGCAGATAAACTATAAATCCCAGCAACTACACTCCCAAATTACAAAAGCAATCCCACCAGTATTCAGATTTGGGTGTATTGCATATTTGTGTCAAATTTGATCCAGTTAATGAAAATACATTCTGCATATCAGATACTTACATTCTGATTCATAACAGTAGAAAAATTACAGTTGTGAAGTAGCGATGAAAATAGTGTTATGGTTGGGGGTCACCACAACATGAGGAGCTGTATTAAGGGGTCGTGGAATTAGGAAGGTTGAGAAACACTGGGTTAGAGCAATCCTCAGAGCAAGGGGGTCTCCCTTAGGGTCTCTGACACTTCTGAGATGTCTCAGGGAGCCCCTATTGAGCCACCAAGCAGCTTGATCCGATGTGCAGTTATTGTAAGATTCTCTAGGCTTCCAGGTCACACAGAACTCCTTACATGGCATTTGAAAGATTAGGGGCCCTTCTGCACAGCCCTATATCCCATAATATCAAGGCAGAAAATCCCACAATATCTGCTTTGAACTGGGTTCCCGGTCCTCAAACAGAGAGTATTTGAGGACCGGGACATCCATAGGGAGACCAAGGTGCTTGTTTATAAAGCTATTGTCCTCCCAACCCTGTTATACACCTGCGAGAGGTGGACTGTCTACAGACGTCACATGCAACTCCTGGAATGATTCCATCAGCGCTGCCTCCGGAAAATTCTACAAATCTCTTGGGAAGACAAGTGGACAAATGTCAGCATGCTGGAAGAAGCAAAGACCACCAGCATTGAAGCGATGGTCCTCCACATTGCCTGGTCACATTGTCTGGATGCCTGACCACCGTCTCCCAAAGCAGCTGCTCTACTCTGAACAAGAATGGAAAATGGAATGTTGGAGGACAGGAAAAGAGATTTAAAGATGGGCTCAAAGCCAACCTTAAAAACTCTGGCATAGACACTGAGAACTGGGAAGCCCTAGCCCTTGAGCACTCCAGCTGGAGGTCAGCTGTGACCAGCAGTGCTGCAGAATTTGAAGAGGAATGGAGGATGAAAGAGAGAAACATGCCAAGAGGAAGGTCCATCAAGCCAACCCCGACCGAGACTGCCTTCCACCTGGAAACCGATGCCCTCACTGCGGGAGAAGATGCAGATCAAGAATAGGGCTCCACAGTCACCTATGGACCCACCGCCAGTACACCGATCTTGGAAGACTATCCTACTCAGACAAAAAGAGATTGCCTAAGTAAGGAACTGGGTTATCTGAGTCCACACTCAGACAATGTGGGATTTTCTACCTTAATAATCTGGGATATAGGCCTGTGTGGAAGGACCCTAGGTGAGATTAAACAGATTACAGATTCCTACACCAACAGATATTGTTTAAAAATGGCAATCACTACCCATTATTTTATTTTTTCATACATGGAAGGAAAATGTAATCACTTTTTTTTTACAATACAAAGTTTCCTCCCTTCATACAATCTGGTCGCTTTAATAATCCTCTAGGTTACAGTTTGCCTGTTATCACTAACCAGCAGGAAAGGAAACAGGAACACTGTCCTCCTCCGGTTCATTGTATCCCAATAAGGCTAGGCTTTAACTGTTTCCACTACAAACCCCCAGGCTAGAGAATCTCATTCTACACAAGGCATTCACCACACACATCACAGCACAATGACTCCAGTTTTAACTGCCATGGTTCAGGGCCCTTCCATACAGCCGTGTAACCCAGAATATCAAGGCAGAAAATCCCACAATATCTGCTTTGAACTGGGTTATCTGAGTCCACACTGCCATATATTCCAATTCAAAGCAGAAAATGTGGGATTTTATTCAACTGTGTGGAAGGGGCCTCAATCTTATGAAATCCAGGGGTTTAAAGCTTAGAGAAGGTTAGGACACCAGAGCTTGTTGACAGGGATGCTAACCCTAACCCTAACCCTAGCCCTGAATAATACTTGGATGGGGAGATTGCCAATGAATACTAGCATGTTGTGGGCTATATTTCAGAGGAAGGAGCTGGCAAAACCATATCTGAGTGCTCCTTGCCTAAGAAAACTCTTTGAAATGCATGGTGTCACTTTAGATTCATAGAGTTGGAAGAAACCACATGGGCTATCAAATCAAACCCTGTGACATGCAGGAAAATCACA